GGCTGGCCCCACGATGGCTCCAAAACGCCCCCCGAAGAGGCCACAGGATAGCACGCGGCGGCCCCTGATGGTCCAAAACAGCCCTGAAGAGGCCCACAGGGGAGACCAGAGAGGCCCAACGGAAAGTTCTCATGGTCTCCAATTCTACGCTTTACACTACTACTGCCTTCCCGTGTCTTCCGGATTCGATGTGGACGTGTTCCGTGCAGCGTGAGGCTCCGACCGCGCCGTGCGCTCGCTGGCGCCACGACCAACAGCATTGTCCCCATCACGGTTGCCCTCAATCTGCCTAGCAGCTGCTTCTCTCCCACGCAGGCGTCGATTATCCTCAGGACGCGTGTTACCTCCAACGTGCGCTTGTCAACCGAAGCCCTCCAGTGCGGCGCGGGCAGTGTAATGAAGGTCGACGTAGGCTGCGCACCATCGGCAAAGCTGGACGGGAGTAACACATATTGGGCTAACACAAGTTCTAGAGATTATCGAAACCTTCACACGAACTCTCCAATCGCCACAAACGCACAAGCAAATGGCAACAGTGATACAACACGGCTCCGTGGAAAGTGCGAACCAGTTGAACCCCCTGGACCCCCAAGGCGCTCATTTGGCACTCATCACGGGCGAAATGAGCATCAAGTATGCACATACTCACGCACGTGTGCTTCTGGTTTTCTTATCCCAAGCGCGCGACTCGTGCATTTAATCGGCGGCACTGACAAAAAAACAGTCACGGGAAAATCCGAAAGGCCAGTATGTGGCCTGGACACCTGATACCAGCAATTAAGCACAGGGGTATGCTCAACTAGCGGATTCGAGCGTGGGTGTGTTCTGCCGGCGCTGTGTCTCATGACCTGCACTGTCTCGCCTCATCTTTACCTGCCACTTGCGTCTTCCAGATACGTTGCTACGGCGAGGTGGCCTCCAAGCTCGGCGGACTACCTCACTGGAATAATCCCAGATATTCTCCACGACGAGGTGGCCTGCAAGCTCGGCGGACTCCTTTGGAGTATCCCCTTCCTGATAGCTGGAATTGATGTCAACGCCCCAGTCGAGCAGCAAATCGACAACCTTCTTGTTGCCGTTGCATGCCGCAACCGTCCACGGCGTTGATCCCTCGCCGTCCCTCGAGTCGACATCGATTTTTGCGCGCGCGCCTTATCCATCAGCTTCGCAAGTTGTGGGTCGGCCCAGCTTGCGGCCATCGCCAGCGCTGTGGGCCCTCCTTTGTCGCTGACATTGACGTCCGCTCTCCTCTCGAACGGCGTCTGCACCTCACCGGCGCGCCCGAAGACGGCAGCCCGTATCAGTGCCGTTCGCCTGTCTGGCGGGAACCTCGCGCGCACGTCCTACGCGGCCACCGACACCATCTCAGACTCCGCAAGCTCGACGGCCAGCGAATTTCGAACAGACTCAGCGTCGCCATTCGACAGGTTGCTGCCGCTCCGCGCCCTCAGCGAATTGCTGTGCTGGCGGCCCGAGGCGCCGCGCCTCGCCCGGCCCAGGCCAAAAGCCAGGCAGGCCGCGAGATTGGCCAGGCCGCGCCCATCGCTGCCTCCACGGCTGCCGCGGCGCGAAAGCGCGCGCGCGCCGTAGCCAGGGCAACCTCTCGCGACCATCCGGGCGGGGATGATGCATGCTGCAGGCACGGACTGTCACTGGACAAGCGCATGGGCCCCCAGTGTATCTCGGCGTAAGCAAAGCTGGATCGGCGCAGTCGGTGGAGCCTGAGTGGCCTGAACTAAACTAGAAGAGCTCCAGCCGAGATGCCCTCCAGCCAATCAAGCCAAAGTGACTTGCTACGTAGGCACACTGATCTCTCGGCTGGCCCCCTAGACGGCTCTTGGGAGCATCCTTTCGGCACACCTCTCACGCACTTCCGTGCTCCGCGGAGCTCCAGAGGCGATCCGCTGGCCCTCAAGACGGCTGAAAAGAGCTTCAAATTCGACTCAAGGAAACCATTTATTCGGCTCACCTGTATCGCAGTTCGCGCCTCATAGACCCAACACTTCCTTCAGTTAGCCCCAAAAGACCACCCGACGCCCCAAAAGGCGTCAAGATGGCCCCCCACGAGGTTGCAACAACTGGTGCCGACACTCGTCGAAGCCATGCCATCTGATTGCGAGATCTGCGTGCGAGTCTCCCCCCTGTACACAAGGAAATCATGTTTTCGATGTTTATTGCGCTCTCTTATTGGTATGAGGTATGCGTGGATGCAGTGATCGCAGCGACGGCGATCAGGATGCATGGAATGATGATGACGGCGGCGATGTGGGTGGATGATGATGACGGCGATGGTAACTGGTCGTAGCCAAATGTTGAGGACCTCTGTCGGCGTCAACGATGAGGGATGCTTTGGGCGAGACCACCACAAATTTATGAACCACGTGGGCCGTGCGGGCTCGGTCGTAGGCTCCTGCCTGGGCAGGGGGGGAACTCCCCGCCTTCTTCTGTGAATTTCCTCCGACCCCCGCGTACGATCAAAAATGTAGCATTCCCTTCAGACCTCCTCCATGACAAGCGGTTTACGACGCTGTTGATGGCGGAGTCCTCAAGGGTGGCTTCCCAAGTTGTACCTACGCGGTGTACGCGCATTTCCGGCTACGTTCTTGATGAGCCAAGCATCAGGATCTAACTTGTTTGCCTTCGAGACGTCCTGTCCGTGCCAACATCCGCCGATGCCATCCAACTTTCCGCAATTTCCGCGCGCCTCGGGCCAGAAGGAAAACGGACCGCCAGCCCTCCAATGCGATCGGTTCGCCAACAGAGGGCCGAGAGAGATCGAACGCAGAAGCGTCCCCCTGGCCGTGGGGGGCCCGCAGCGACTTCCGCCTCCGGGGCCCGGCATATCTAGACCGCGGCGAAAACCGGAACACCTGCGGACTTCGGAGGGGACGGCCCGAGGGGAGGGAGCAGAAGAGGGGGGCGGAGGACGGGAGGAGGCCAGGAGACCTCATGTGGAAGCTTCCCAGGCCATGTGGCAGATGTCTCCCATGCAATGTGGCAGCCTGCCTGTGCTCTGCAAAAGAGCTGATCTGGCACGTCGCCTCCCGGGCATAGATTCAGGCTGGCAGCAGAGCAAGCAAGACTGGGCACTGCCAGCGGGGGAGCGGGGCGCCCAAAGGAGGCCGGGGAAATTAGGCCGAATCGCCCCTTGCCCCCCCGCGAAACGGAGCGCGACCTCGAAGGGACTGCGTCTCGAAATGCATCGGGAAGGCTCAAAAAGGAGCACGGCACAAGGGCGGAGCGCCAAAGAGGTGCGGATGAGAGGAGGACGCTGACGGGGCAGAGGCTCCACTTGCAGGGAAGAGGGAGGGGTGTAAGAGGAGAAGGGGGAGGCGCGAGGAAGGAAGGGGGATGGGGGAGGAGGGGGTGCAGGAGAGAGAGAGAGAGAGAGAGAGCGGGAGGGAGCGGGGAGGAGGCGGGAAGAGGGGCTGAGGCGCTTCATCTGAGGAGGCCCACTGAAACTGTGGCGGGTGTATGAGGGGGCAGGTGGGAGAAGGAGCCAGAGAGTGCAGGGTGGACGAGGGATGACGAGTCTTCAGGAGGACTCAGCCATATGCAGTTGTGAATACCGCTTCCGGTGTAGCCCACTGTTGGGCCACGAGACGTGTGAGGGTGTGCTGGATCGGCGGTGGCTATGCCATGCGGACCCGGCCACTGAGGCCTTCGGTGGAGCTCCCTGTGGGGCCACGAAGCGTGGGACAAGAGTGCCGCATTGGGAGCTGGTGCACCGTGCGGACCCTACCACTGGAAACTTCGGTTGAACTCTTTGTGGGGCCACGAAGCGTGTGAGGTGGTGCTGAGTTGGGCGCGGTTACGCCACGCTGACCCTGCCACTGGGGCCTTCTGTGGAGCCCCCTGTAGGGCCAAGAACCATGTGAGGGGGTGTGCTGAATTGAGGGCGGGTACACCACGAGGACCCTGCCGCAACAACCTTCGGTGGAAGTCCCTCTGGGGCCACGAACCAAGTGAGGGTGTGCCGTTTTGGGGGCGGGTACGCCATACGGGGACCATGCTGCTGGGACCTTTGGTGGAGCTCCCAGTGCAAAGGGGGCCACGAACCGTGCAAGGGGTGTGCCAAACCAGGAGCGGGTGGGGCCTTCGGTGGGGCCCACTTCGGGGCCACGTAACGTGTGAGGGATGTGACGCCGAGAGCAGTGTCGAGATGGGGAGGAGCGGGAGGTGGGATGGGAGGAGACGCGGGGCACTGCGGACTTAAAACGAGGACCCAACTCACCACATGATGGTAGGGAAAACACCAGCCGCCAGCCCCTTTGAGCTAAGTCATAGGAGGGAGGATGGCGTCGAGGAAGGGAGGAGGGACTCCCCTCCCGATTCTCTCACGCCCCCCCTGAGAGGGAACGTCAGGGTGGGACCAGCTCAGGGGGGGAACATCGAGCTGCAACCGGCGATACATTGCCGAGAGATCGGCGATAGCGTTCCCGGGTGGGCGGGCTACCGGGCCCCTGTCAGCGATCAGTGGACGATCGGGAGTCGAAAGAGCACCCCCTGAGCGTATCCCACCCTGCGTTGGCCCCTGACACCTTGGGTGGGTGGGCTGGTAGGGGGAAGATGTGTACCATGCCCAGTGGGGATGAAGATCGGGTCGGGCGGAAGGGGAGGAATAGCAAAGGAGGGGTTTGAGAATCAGCTCACGCAGCTGATTTTCCTAGCGCCTCCCGGCGCCGGAGGCGGCTATGTATCGAGGAGTGGGCCCCTCGGTGAGACCAAAACCAGCTGCACGCAGCAAATTTCGTAACCTCCCTTTCCCAATCCCCCCCTTTCGTCCGGCCCGAGAAGATCGGCTGGACGGTGCGCAGGACGCCGGCGAGGAGGCGCCGGCCGCGGTGAGACGCGAGGCAGACGACGCCTCGATCCTCGGTCTCGATCCTCGAGGGCACCAGCGAGGAAGCATCGATCCTCGAGCCTGTCCCCGCCAAGCGTCGCCCCCGGCTCTGGCCCCCCCCCGTGCACCTCCCCTCGGTTTCCGTTGCCCGCATCTCCTGCACGCGCGCAGCCTCCCGCTGCCGCCGGCCGCCCACTTGCAGCTTTCCGCTGTCCTCTGGCGGATCGGGGGGGGGAATTGATGAGGCGAGAAGGAGGACGACGAGGGGGAAGAGGACGAGGAGGAGGAAAAGGACGAGGAGGAGGAGGATGACGAGAAGGACGAGAAGGAGGAGGAGGAAAACAGGAGGAGGAGGGAGAGGAGGACGAGGACGAGGACGAGGACGACGACAAGGAGGACGAGAACGACGAAGAGTTTTGAGAGGCAACTCCTTGGAAGCTCGTGTGGCAAAATATGGGCGGCTCGTCCCGATCAGGGGGCTGCTGTGCTGGAGTAAACCCGAATAGGCACAAAGCCAAGCCAACATATCACAAAACACCATCACGGCCTGGAGTGGGCAAAATATTACCCAAGGCAATGCCAGCGCCAAGGCTGAGTTCAACATCCTTCGAACTGAACAAGGGCAGCATCAGGCGAGAGGGCGGGGGCGTCAGTTTGCACATTCTGCCGCCCTGGGCCGGGCTAGCCCCCGTCACCACGGTCTGATCCGACCCACCTGGGCCGAACGCGGCCCGTGCGACATCAAGGGATCTCGTCGTGCAGGAAGGCGGGCGGGAAGGGGGCGGGATCACCAGCAACACGCGGAGGCAAACGCAGAGGCGGAGGAACACGGGCCAGGGCTTCAGGGGGATCTCAGACGAGGTTCCAAGGAGCCTCGGGGGGGGAGGCGGAACGAGCAGACTGTCGTGCGCGGCGGCCCGGACCGCCACTCAGCTATAGACCATCCGCTCGCAAGCCGGAATGTGCCTGCCGCGGGCCCGTGGGATCCGCCGCAAGGTGGCCCGAAAGCGACCACTTAAGCGCCAGCCTCCGTCAGCATCACAAGGCTAATTCAATCGGACGTCGGCCAGAAGAGCACCCCTCAAAAACACGAGACCCCCCGTCGGCCAAAGCAAGCAAAACATCGAAAGGCACCCTGCAAACACAAAAAGCACGTGGGCACCCTCCCCGGAAACGGCCTCGATCTTAGACCTCGGTCCGACTGCGCTGGAAGGCTCCGAAGTTATCAGGGGCCCAAGAGAATTGCACAGGGGGGGGGCGATTTTTCGATTACAAGGACCTCGTAGTGTCAGCCCCTGATGAGAAAACACGGGGGGCGCACGATTCAAAAATTGCCCCCCTGTTCGGGCGATTCGCAATGGGGGGGGCGTCAGCAAATGGAAGCATGCGGCGGCGGTGCCAGTGATTAGCGCCGGCGCCTGGCCGCAAGCGAGAGGGCGACAGGCGCGACGCAAGCGGCGCCGCTTCAGCGGAGCGGGACAGCAGCGCCTGTGCTATACCGGAGCGTTTGGGCCAAAACTGTTACAAACAGCAGAGAAAATGGACGCGGGGGGGAAGAGACGTCTCAGCTGGCGGGCGGTGCCGACACGGCTACAAACAAAAACGTGAAGAAGGGGGATGAGCGGCAGAAGCAGGCGGAAAGGGCTCCTCCTTCTCTTTCTCCACCCCCTCTCCCAACCGCACTACTACGACGGCGACGACGACGAAGACGACGACGGACGACGGCGAAGGCAACTGCGGCTGCGACTGCGACGCTGGGCAGCGACGCACTGCGGATGCTCCATGGCAGTGGGCGGGTGTGCTGCGGATGCCCGCTGTGATCGTCGACGACGACGACGACAACGACGACGACGACGATTTTGACGTCGACGACGACGACGACGCACTGCCGATGCCCATGGGGGGGCTGCGTAGGCCTACTGGACAACGTCGACGACGACTGCGCACTGCGGATGCCCCTGGGGGGGGGCTGCGGTGGCCCACTGACGACGACGCCGACGACGACGACGACGACAACGACGCCGACGACGCCGACGACGACAACTTCGACGTCGACGTCGACGACGACGCACTGTAGATTGATCATGGATGGGGGCTGCGTAGGCCAGCTGCGATTGACGACGACGACGACAACGACGACGACGACGACTGTGGCACGTCAGTAGCGAATCTGGGGGGTGGCGGGGGACTTCGCCTCGAGTGTTTACGGTCCCTATAACATTTTCCACACGAAAAAAACAATCGCTTTGAGGCTGGCGTGCAGGTGGGTACACTATCCCCCCGGCGGCGCACGCGACGACCCCCTGGCGCGCGTGCTTGAAAACAATGTTTCGCGCCCCGCGGGGTCTTTTCATCCGCGAGCATCGGGGGAACTACAGACTCAATTTTTTTGGAGTCACAGAATTCGGCCTTCTCAACTTGTGCGCGGTGATGCCACTGCCACCGCGGTGGAACCATCTCTAGTCTGGAGATCAATACTCCAGTACATGAAACGCGCACGCCAGCTGTATGCCCTGATTGAAAGGTATATTGGGACCACTGGGGACGCGGCATGTGTATGGAACTGATCTGCTGCTAATTACGTGTAGCAGCAGAACTGTTGCCATCAGAAGCGATCAGAATGCGGAAAGAAAGGGTCACAACAATTACCAGTGAGCGCTAGCAAGGAAAACGCCAGACTAGCTGCGACCTGTGGCAAATGGTGGCAACTTATACAAGACGGATGCGTTCCAGCAGACATCCGCAAAAAAATGGACTGGCGCACATTGCGCATCAGATTAGCCAGCTGAGCACGGCAATCGTGACGATGGGCGACACGTCGCAAGTGGTGGTCTTCGCCTCGTCATACTCCTCCTCCGCGGGGGCAGCCGACTCGTTCTCGTCCTCTGAGAGGTCCTCCGGCGTCGGCGGTGGAGCCGGCGTCGGCGGTGGCGGGTTCTCCGGCGTCGGTGGTTGCGCCGGCGTCGGCGGTGGCAACGCACCAATCGCAGCATGCTGTCGATGCGTCGTGCCCACCCCATGCATAATCTTCAAATAATGTATTCCACGTCCACCCGGATCCATAGCCACCAGACGTCGCGCACCAATTCTTTTCGGAATAGTCAGTACAATCATAATACCAGTAGTCGTACCAGCCAGCGTGGACGTCGACGCAAGGAGCGGGCGTCGGCGGCGGCACACCACCACCACCACAAAAGCAACACGCTGTCGATGCGTCGGACCCTTCATTTGTATAATTTGCGAACGTGCCCCACGAATGGTTCCCATCCATATCCACAGCCACCGGAACTCGTGCACCACCCGTACTTGAAATGCTGAGTACACGCGTACATACATGTGCTATCAAGCCAATTCTCGTGGACGTCGACGCAATCCGCCGGTGTCGGTGCCGGTGCCGGTGTCGGTGCCCCCACCTGGACGTACGTATTCAGATTGCAAGTTGCCCCACATCCTGCATCGACATTAGCGTCATCGTTCAACTGGCAATCCCCTCGCTGATACGTATTGGAGCTACCGACATGGTCAGCGAAGTATTCAAATGCCACGCAGTCGACGTCAGCATCGCACAACACCTTGCAGTCGTCAACACTTTTGTTTGAATGTTTTATAATGTTAGCTCCCCAGACGCAGCTGGGCCATACATGTGTATATTCGCTGGGGACTGGTAGCGCGGGGTCCTCCTCCGCGGTGGTCTCCAGGCGGCGCTCGCCGACCACAGTGGTGGACTCGTATTTGACAAGTCGTCGTGGAAAGCGCAACCGCGCTCAGCGAGTAGCAGCGCGACCGTCGCGATCCAGGCGGCTCATTTATCGCGTAGGAGGCGAGGCCCCTCCTGATTACAAGGGCATTGCGCGCTGTAACGGGGGTCCCGACCCGAAGCCGGTTGAACCCACAGACGGCTCGAGCAATATTGAATATTGCTTCAGCCACAAGCTTAAGCCAAAATGGCTACGGAACTACCGACGGAATGTTTGAACCAGATCCCCGGACAATGCGGTGACGTTAACCCGGCCAGAAGCCTGGGGACCCCACCCAAACCAGCCATAGTGCACGTATAGGCCGGTACAGCCAATACCGGCCTTTCTGGCAGCAAGCACATCCAAGGATAGTGTAGTGCCGTGCAGCGCGTGAGGCAGAGCAGGCATAGCATGTCGTCGGGGGTCTGTCAAATTAGGGTCTCTTGTGAGCGAGGGAAGAGCGGCAGCGCCACCCCCTCGCCCATGTAAGTAGTCATATAATTGCGCAGGCACTTTGGCTCAAGATGGAGCGGTCTGAGGAACATCATCACTTCCCCATCCCAATGAGGAAGAAGAGTCAGTCTCAGCGGCAACGCCAACTGCTCCTCCGACTCTACAACTCTTGTAAGACCCTCCATAGGTTGAAACTCAGGGTCCCTGTAGACAGCAGCCTCCGTCATCCTCTGCCCATGCCCCCAGCCAAGGCCCATCGGCTTTTGCACTTGATAGCTCGGGATACAACGACGTAGTATGGAACATGGCATTGGATGACTCGATCGTGGCCAATGCAGGGCCAGACGAGAGGAGAGCCCCGCAAAGGGTTATGAGTCCAAACGCTGCCCTGGCGCCACATCGCTACACGAACATTCGGCAGCACAAGGCGTGCTACGATGTGATCGTTGGCCCAGCGATACGGTGCAGTGTGTGCGCGGGCGACGTCCATGTGCACTGCATGCAGGTGATTGGAATATCCCCCGTATGCTTCTACTGCGTGGCCGGCAGGGACATGCTGGCCGCGCAGCGCAGATCGGCATGAACTGGCCAGGTAACCTTACGCGGCTTGCGGAGGGCAGCTGGCAGGCCAGATGATCGGCGCGACGGTCAGCGGCACTGCGCAGGGAGCACTGCGGCTTGTCCAAGAGCCGCGGCCCTCGCCAGGCGGACCCGGACTGGACTGGGGCAGGCGCGGTGCCGCCGCCGGCGCGGCACCGCTACCTGCGGCCGCTGGAGTACGACAGCCAGGACAGCCAGCTGCTGGACGAGCTCCGGCTGGCCAGGCAGCAGAATCGAGTCCCTGACCAGGAGGACTGACGAGCTCGAGAGCCGAGGCAGCTTGGGGGTTACATGCGCCGCAGTGGGAGGGGCGAGCTTCGACGCGGGCGCGCTGACCGGCGGGCCGAGCCGCCCAGCTCCCCGACGGGTCGGGCAGAGCAAGGTCTTGCTGGCGAGGAGGAGGTGCAGGAACAGGATGAGGGCC